CTGGTCAAACTCAACGGCAGGTTGCTGTCCACTTTAATGTCAGAGTCAGAGTGCTGTTGGTAGACTTTGGTAGAGGTTTCGAGCCAATGGGACCGTGGAATATGCACGTCGACCAGGTCGCCCCAGTTCACGAGTAGACAAACTGGGAGTAGTCATATCTTGAGTAGTCATAATGGGAAGATACCCCCAGAGTCAAACAGTCCGAGATGATAGGCACATGATTAATACTGCGTTATGTAACAGATTCCTGAACTCAGCAGATCTTCAGACAGAACAGTTCAATGTTAACAATGTTAGGATATCCAGGAGCACCGTTCGTCGACGTTTAAGAGAAGCCAGACTCCGCTGTAGGCGACCTGCAGTTCGTCCACCATTAATACCACGTCACAGGCAGGCGCGCAGTTGAGATGGAGTAGACATCATGACCGCTGGAATCAACGTCAATGGTCTCGTGTGATCTTCACAGATGAAAGCAGATTCAATTTGTCCTTCCATGATGGTCGGCTGATGATTTGTCGTCCCAATGGAGAGCGATGGTTTAGTCGGTCATGGTTTGGGCAGGGATAACCCCTACTGGACGTACTCCACTGCACGTGGTCGACGGTAATCTTACCGGACGGCGTTATCGGGGCGAGATTCTGGCTCCTATAGCAGTACCATTCCTGTAAGCTATATGCATGGCTTTTATGGTTGACCTTCTTTACTGCAAAACGACAACGCTTGGTCTCATAGAACCAGGATTGTCACAGAATTCCTTAGGCAGCAAGGCGTAGAGCGGATGGAGTTGCCAGCATGCCCGCCAGACTTCACTCACTCAGATGACCAGTGTACACATGTCACCCAGCAGCAGTGGGTCTCCCAGGACTCAGCAGAGCCCTAGTAGAGGAATGGAATGCCATTCCGCAAGCTTTCTTCATGAACTTGATAAAGAGCATGGGAACAAGGTGCACCTGTGTCTTGGACGCGCGAGGAGGGCAAACAAGATACTGAATGACCGAGTACTTCATGTTTGTCATTTTCATTTTGGGGGTTGGTCTATACAACTGATGTTTGCTAGTGCTGTTTGAACTTTTTGTCTGTATGTCACGATGTGTCACGTTTGTCAACACATTAAACATTATGATGACACTCTTAGTTCTATTATTTCTGAGAAACCTTTCTTTACATGTGCTGTATATCATTTGACCCTTTATTAATGGTCCCTGGTATAGTTAAAGTACGAGAACAGTAACGTTGACAGTAAAAGGAGGTTGATTTGCACAGGTGCAAACTCAGAAACAGTACTAAATCTTGGAGTTTGGTTGGACCAGCAGCTGATGACGAATCATCACGTAACACGACACATAATTACCATCTACGTGGCAGTGGAAAGCTCATGCCATATCTCAACAAAGATTCGGCCGTCAAACTTAGTTGCGATGATTCTCTCTAGAATAGACTACTGCAATATCCTCTTTGTTAATATTAGCAAAGACCAGATAGAAAGACTTCAAGCCATTCAGAACTCTGCTGCATCTTACCTCCAAGAACTGCTGCACATGTAATCTCCATCTAGATCTCTTCTATCTCAGCACATGTATCCCTTTATAGGTCCATGGTATAAGACATTTGGTAAAAGAACCTTCGCCTATGCTGCCTCAACCTTATGGAATGAGCTGCCTACATCCCCCAAAATAGCTGAAACCGTGCCTTCCTTCAAAAATCATCTAAAGACTTATCTCTAACAACCACCTCGTCTGAGCAGCGCAGAGACCATGTATACTACTTTGTGAATAGATAAATAGAAATAGAAATATAAAACTGCACATAATACTATTATAATTGGTCAGGGCTAACTGACGCGCTGTTCTATTGACGTGTCTGCCCCCCTACTTCAAGTAACCGGAAATCGAAATGATAAACAGCTTGACGAGAGTTTACGTTCGGGTTAAATATCTTCTCTAAATTATTTTAATTGCATCTGTGATCAGCGTAAACCATACGGGGCAATATGAACGTCGCGTTCCTACTGAAAGGGGCTACTATGATGACAATTTTCAGGCAATCTGGTGAGATGTAATAGACAAACGACCCAGTTATTTTCTCATCCATTGCATGGTCGTAATCACAGACCCATGGTGTCTCAAGGTTACAGTCGCCGGGTACAGACCACAACTGTTTCCAGAATCTTTCATTGGCATCCATGGGAGGCCGTTTATTATGTTCACCATCACCTTTTGTTTTGAGTTGCCTGTAAAAAAGCTTTTCGATATTTCTAAAGAGTTTATTTTGTTTATGAATTTGTTCTCCTGTTTCCATTTTTACTTTCTTCTTTCAGTCCAAACCTTTAATTTTGAAATAAAATAAAGGAATAATTATTATTATGTTTAACAGATTATGGTGAAAAATGCAGCAGAGACGGTTCGGGTGATCCTGGCAAAGTCAGGCTGGTAAGGCTCATCATCAGCTCATGGCCTTTGCTCCCGCTACCCGCAGCCCAGAGAGCGAATGGGACTTCTCCCACCCACCAAGAACTTTCCGGAGAATAGGTTGTCTCCCCAACACTGCAGCCTTCTGCAGTACCGAGAGGGTCAGAAGGGCTGTGCTCCCGGTAGAGAATCCGGGCACTCTCCTGATCTGCGCCAAGAGATCAGGAGGTACCAAACCAAGGACATCGAGAACAATGGGGAGCCTGATTGACGACAGTGTACTTGGGATACAAGCGAGACATTTCAAAGGTGAGGTCCGCATATTTAGCATGCTTTTCCTGAATCTTGTAAATCACGTTGCTGTAAAAAGGGGCAGAAAATCCAATGATATAAATAAATTCATTGGCTTTATCAAAACGGACAAAAAACAGGTTTGTTGGATGGAATTCTTCTGAGGCTGTATATATTCCAAAGAAGTTTAAAGGCATCATTTTCTATGGCGCCCTGACATGTTCAGGGTCGTACCATGGATGGACCTCGGAGTCAAAGCCACAGGCATGGCGAAGACGGTAGTAGAAGCAACGAGCCATGCCATCATGTCTTTTAAGATATGACGTTTGTGCCAAGCCGGGCATCCACTGACATGGTACTGGACAGTCTCTGTGAATTCATTGCAAAGTCGACATTTCATATTGATATTTTCTTTAAGAATCACAATTTGGCGATTGGGAGTGGGAAGTGAGCAGCAAGAAGAAAGCCTTCAGTTTCACATTTAAGACCAGCTGACTTCATCCAGGCGATGGAGTTGGTTTGATCGCTATTCTGTTCCACACACTGGATGTGCACACGATGCAATGGCTTCTCAGAAAGCTTCTCCACAAATGACCGACTCTGGGCAGCAAAGATTGATTGACTGAATAGCTTGTACATCTCGCTGACATCACAGGTGTCATGTTTATGTCAGATATGTGAGTTTATGTCAGAAAACACTTCAGTGAAACCCTCTGGCACTGTCATGGTGCTGACAAACCTAGACACATAACTAGGGCGAGCCGGGATTCGAACCAACGATCATATGTTTCTGGTGGGTTGATTGGTCGATTATTCACTGCCCGCCGACATATAGCTGGAATATTGCTGAGTGCAGCGTTAAACAACAAACCAACCGACCAATCCCAACATGGGAACAGTGTGTGAAACCTATTTCTTGTGTCCCCCGCCGTGACATTGCCGCTCTGAATGAGTGACTATATATACTCACTCACTCAGAGCGGACTGCAGATCCTCAGACGACTCGTGCACCGATTTAATTTAAATGGGGAAATTGTACAGATATCAACTGCTGTAATATGTGGAACACGGCCTCTCCCAACCCCAGTGGTTGTACATACCAGATCCCCTACAACTGTGGCGACCGAAACATTGGTGAAATCCCCTAAACATCAAGAACATCCCCAGACAAACTCGAGCATAAATCCGCCATTTTCAGAACATATCAGCAAAAACTAAGACTACATTATCATGTGAGCAGCTGTTCAAGCCTTGTCCACCATTATCCAGGTGCCAAAGGTGCTACAAGAGACATCACATCACGAGATTTAACCAGCGATATAACACGAAATAATGTTGCTGTTAAAATACATTTTACCATTTATACATTGTATGCATATGAACCAGTAAAGAAACTGGTGTCTTCACAAGTATTTAACTACCATGACTGGGTCTCAAAATGTCATAATTGTGTCTAAAATTCCAAAGGGCTGAACCCGTGAAGATCTAGGTTAGGTCTTCAGTAACCCATACTTGTCGTAAGAGGCGACTAACGGGATCAGGTGGTCCCGTGAAGATCCATGTTATAGAATTGGTCTTCAGTGACCCATGCTTGTCGTAAGAGGCGACTAACGGGTTCAGGTGTTCCCGTGAAGAGCCGGGTTACAATTGGTCTTCAGTAACCCATACTTGTCGTAAGAGACGACTAACGGGATCGGGTGGTCAGGCTCGCTGACTTGGTTGATGCACGCAGTGTGCGAAATAGCCACTGGCTAGCTAGCCCCGTTGCTAGTAAAAATCCAGTTGGGCCAGTAAATTTCCACAGTCACTGGCCCGAGTGAATGGTGAATTTTCATGGGGTCATTTTGTAAATATACTCATAGAAACAAATAAGGGAACACAGGAAAGTACAAGTGTTCCCTTATTCGTTTCCATGAGTATATATCACTCTCTCTAACTTGTTAAGTTATAACACACTTTTAAATCATGCAAGATTGTGGCCTGACAAAATTGTTTATCATATTAGCAGCTTATTGATGAAACCCTTGTCTTCATTCCAATTTCGGACTAGTGAATTATTTTGTGGGCTGGTAACTTCAGGCATAGCTAGCCCGACTGGCTAGCAAAATTTGAAAACTTTTCCCCACACACTGGACACACGGCACCGTATCCTCCTTGTGAAGATCTAAGCTCGTGCTGTTGATCACTGGAGTGTCTGGTCAAGACTCGATTATTTACAGACCGCCGACATAAAGCTGGGACATAGCTGAGTGCGGCCTTTAACAACAAACAACAACCTGTTGAGCGCTCTGCACTATTTTAATCACTTGTGTCACTGTCTATCCAGCTGACTTCCATGTCCATCACCGTCACCAGTCAGTTTTATTACCCACTAGTCCTCCTTTTGTGCATTACTAATCAGTTTCTTTGAGAGGCATTTTAGAACTTGTAAAGATGACTGACTGACTGAGTTTGTTTTACGCCGCTTTTAGCAATATTCCAGCAACATCACGGCGGGGGACACCAGAAATGGGCTTCACACATTGTACCCATGTGGAGAATCGAACCCGGGTCTTCGGCGTGACGAGCTAACGCTTTAACCACTAGGCTACCCCACCGCCCCTGTAAAGATGAAGGAAACCAAGCGATGTAGATACTAACACCGTTATCAAGCAAACCTCGTCACTTGCTTGATAACGTTCTTAGTACCTATACCGAAACGTCTCAGTCTTTGCAGTAAAGAAGTTGAGTATCCATAGAACTCGGTTTTCCTTCATTACCAATCAGTGCTTAATTACCTATTACTGCTAATTACCTATCAGTATACTATTTCCGCCTGGATTTACTCCAGGCTTCCATCTATCCATTGTCAACACCAATCAGCGCCGATTACCACTGGCTTACCTTATTAAGTGTTTACCTTTGTTATCTCATCAGTGTTGTTGTTTTTCACACGTGCCGTTACAGCTACGCTTCCCAGTTTTCATTCACAGATGAAGCTGAGTAGTCAAGCGACATTCCACGATTGTATTGTGGGAATGTAAACATTGCGAACGTTACCGTGTCGCTGAAAACCTGTGAGTCGAATTGACACATTTTATCCGTCGTAAAACATAAATGTAATGCTTCCACCAGTGATGTTAGCTGCGTGAAGCAACTGCAAACCAAGAAACGGGATGCAACGGAGTAGTTTACTGTCGGAGGCCGTACGAGGCGATGACAACTGACATGCATCGTGACGTCGCTTACATTGTGACGTAATGTAAAATAATTCGATTACGAGGGGGCACACTAGAATGGCGCAGTGACTGGAAAACGTCATTCAATTGTTACGTCATCAAAAAACTATACCTTTATTGTCTGATAATGTATTTTTTCCGATTGTTCTAAACGCTAGGCATCTTAGAACAGACAATAATGTACAATTTTTGCATAACGTCACAATGTAATGGCGTCATTACGCCATTCTAGTATGCCCCCTCGTAATCGAACGTTCCCGTTGGTAGCCGACGTCACGATGCATGTCAGTTGTCATCACCCGTACAGCCTCCTCCGTTGCACACCGTTTGTTGGTTTGCAGTTGCTTCATTTGGCTAACATCACTGGTGGAAACATTACGTTTATATTTGTATACGGACATAATGTCTCAGTTTGACTCACAATTAAACAGCCACCCGGCAACGTTCACAATGTTTACATTCCCACAATGCATCCGTGGAATGTTGAGTGACTAGTCATCTTCATCTGGATGTACTGATCTATGATCTAAACTAATGTTGGTAGTAGAAATGCGACGTTCATATTGTCCCATATTATTTACGTTAATTACAGATGTAATTAAAATAATTTAGAGAAGATATTTAACCCGAACGTACACCGTTATCCAACTGTTATTCATCAACAGTAGAACAGCGCGTCAGTTCTGTTTGTTTTCTGTCTTAGATTTATCGTCGGTAATAAACTTGGCATCTTGGAAAATAAATACAGTTCGATCGAGAGAGAGAGATGTAACAAATTTAATTTCAGGGCGAACGTGTGCTTAATTACACTATACATGGTGGTAGAGCAAACTACTTCTATAATATATGGATATGTGTGTGTGTGTGTGTGTGTGTGTGAGAGAGAGAGAGAGAGAGAGAGAGAGAGAGAGAGAGAGAGAGAGAGAGAGAGAATCTCTTATAGATGTAACACATTTGACTTTCAAGCCAACCATAGCTGTGACAAATTCAGATATATCTCTGACAATGTAGTCACAACTTATTAAAACAAGCAGTTTGACAGAAATAATATTCTAGTAAGAAGCTAAGTTGAAAACTTGTTTTTATGATTAAATGGTTCATTAGTTTAATCTCTAATTATAACAATATGTGACCTCTTTATATCTGAGTAGATCAATTAATTCACCATTAACTTCAAAAGACTATTTATTTCATCTTAATTACACAGATTTAGTCCGTTAAGTCTATTAGGACTGGCCCATTACCACAACAGTATAATATCATCTATTAACGAACAACTGGATTATGGGCTAAATGGACATAACTAGGAAATCAGCCCATCCCACCCGCGTTACAGGCAGCCCGTTAATGTTACTAACTAATGATGGGAACATGATTGATTGGTATATTGACTTGTTAGGTCCTCCTAATACAATCGGAGCAAGAGCCCATCCCTTATACCCAACCCGGGGGCGATGGGGTAGCCTAGTGGTTAAGGCGTTCGCTCGTCAAGCCGAAGTCCCGGGTTCGATTCCCCACATGGATACAATGTGTGAAGCCCATTTCTGGTGTCCCGACGTGATATTGCTGTAATATTGCTAAAAGCGGCGTAAACCTTAACTCACTCAAGTATACCCCACCCAGGTATAATTTCCGTTTGAGGGACAATGTCTAGTGTGATTGGTATATAAGACGTTTCAAAATGTGCATACAGGCCTGGGAAACTTCTGAACTTATTACTGCGGATGACTACTTCATTTGTTGATTGATCGGCTTTCTAGAAGTTGTGGAATCAAAAATGAAGCATACAACTTTATGGGTAACAACTTCTGGTTTATTGCATAAAGCCCGCGACGTTTCGATGTAGATTCTTACATCGTTATCAAGCTATATGCTTCTCACCATTTGGTTGTAGTCACTCATAGCTTGATAACGACATAAGAGTCAGTAAATCTGTAAATAAGGCAACCCGTATTTGTTTATGTCTCGCGTTTCCAACCTCAATCAGCAAGAGAAGGGAGGGTGGATCAATTAAATAAAAATGAAAACGTAAAAAGAAATATTAAAAAATTGTAAATAAATGTTAATAAAGAAAGATCAACCTGAACCTAAGTCATTAGTGTGCAAAGGCAAGACTTGTTGTGTTTTTTTCTTTTATTTGTTTTTATCACATTGGGGCATAAATTTCTACAACGGCGAAGTAAAATTAAAATAAGAAACGTTGTTATTATTTTTTCACATCGGAATGAAAACGCTGGGCGGAATGGAGTTGGGAAACACAAGAAAAAATACGGAGAACCTTAACCTTGGAGAATAAGTGGCCTGGTTGTCACTCAATATAATACATGGTGCACTTCCAGGTTGCCTTGAGGACTAGATTGGGAGTTGCCAGTTTTAGCAAGTTTCATTAAACTATTTTGAAGCACGTGTCGTCTTCTATCTCAGTAATGTATTAATATCGTAATTACACGATTCCGCGACTAAGCAAGGGTAACACGCACCTTAGACGTTATTCACATTACACCATCCAGAGACAACCTCATGCGATTTGTTACATATAAACGCTATACATTAATTGGAATGGCGGTATGATACACCCGATGATCAAGATTAATTATAACCATGACACGGAAGTACTGTCTTAAATTTTATGACGACCGTTAATCCAATAAAACCGCGCCCATCCACCCGCTAAAACAATCACACATGCAAATCATTATATTAATAACCCGATTCTTGCTAAAGCAGAATAGAAGAGGAATCGGGGACGTTGCAAAGATAAATCATGTGAACCGACTGACAGCTCGGGGGGGTGAATGCTGTCGTCCATTTTACATTTCACGTGGACTAACGCTTAGTCTCTGAATATATATTCCCAATTGCGCAGATCGATGCTCATGCTGTTGATCACTGGATTGTATGGTCCAGACTCGATTATTTACGGACCGCCGCCATATAGCTGGAATATTGCTGAGTGCAGCGTAAAACTAAACTCACTCACTCACTCACTCTGAATGTATATACATGTTATTTTGATAGTAACATGCCCCTCAATGTATATACATGTAATTTTGATAGTAACAAGCAAGCTCATTTAAATTGAAACGGAGCCCCAGGGAGACCAGAGATTCTAGACTTGCTTTATTTAGGGCTTTAGCACTGCAGAGAGGACTTGGCAGTAGGGCAAATAATGTGGTTCAGGGACTACTTTTCACGCTGTAGTCGTGTAATGGTTACAGTGTAATGTATAACCAAAGTCAAACGGTGTTCACTTGTATGTAACTTCACGAGCGTAAATAACATTTTAAATCACTTTTTCGTGTGAATAGTGAAGTTGTAAAAACATGTTTTTAAAACGAATTTTATGAGGAATTCGCCTGTGTTCGTACGAATTGTTACATTGTACAAAGTATATTGCACCATCAACGTTAAATGGCACTTTCGCGACTGTTCAGAATAATAAAGAAGTCGAGATATTATATCTACCGACTTTTAGACTTGATTAAACATGGCGGGGAAAATACGATTCTTCTGCATAAATGGATAATGGGAAACAACATATGACATATTATTGAGAAAGTCGAAAATATTGTATTTCTTCTTGTGTAAGTGAGGTGGATATGTGATATCAGCAGAATTATTTATTACCTGTCATTAAAACTCAATTTTATTGAGGCGAAATGTGTTTCCTCTGAAAACAAACATACCGTGTAATGAATATTATGAATGTCTCCATGAGAAGCTCCTGTGAGCGTCATTTAATAATAATAAGTCGAAACACAAGTAGCATGATCTGTTGAAAATGTAATTGTAATTTTATCAATTGTTACAAAAAATCACCTTAAGGCCTTTGCAGTACAGCTGTGAAAGCACAAATGAGCTTAAACACCTTTATTAAACATGTCAGCAATAATAATACACAAAATAACGGTATATTCGAAAGCTCTTGACAGCGTTTACCACAACTTGTTGCGGTGGTGAACGATCTAACAACGCTGTGAGGAGCACCTTTACTTCCGGGTACCTGTGTCATTGTTGTTTGTTATTTACGTATACGGACAAACTGACCTGTCAGGCATGGTTAAAGGAAGACACTGTTTGGTCTGGATGCATAATTCGCCAGCTGTCTACGCGAGCTACATATCGCCGTGACAGGTAGGCGTTTATCAGCAGGTTGTCTTTACACAGGTTGTCTATCTGTCATGATAATAGTCAGCTGTACATACCATTGCCAGTGAAAGTGACAGGGAAAAGGTGAGTGTAAAAGTTTCAGGAAGTTTAGATGGTATACGTATTTGATGGACAATGACAGACCCAGTAGGTATCGCGTATTATATCTAGATGCTGTTGGGTTGGTCGTGTTGTTGGTGTGCCTGTTCAAGGTTGAAATTCAGATAGGCTGCATATTAGCTAAGTCGAATAAGTCACCACAGCCCAATTGAATTTTAGTTGATTACGCAATTAGCAGAGATGCCAACCCATACGATTTTACCGTAGTTGTTACGAAAAAACAACACAAAATACGCGACTTTATACGTACGATAGCAGTCAAAATATACCCAAAAAATACAAAAATACATTAAATTATCAAATATAGCATACGTACCATGCACAATAAATTTCAACCACACTTTATTCAGTATATCAAGCTATATATGGATACTTACTACTGATTTAGGTGAGTACAATGTTAATAAGAACTTCTAAGAAGATCTTTGTATTTTTTATTAAATCAAAATATGATAATTAGTGTATGAAAAGTTTTTGGAAAAGTGAATACTAATTTTGGCCCAAAAAATACAAATGCCTGCATCAGTTCTTGCGCCAAATACTAATTGGGCTAAATTAGGGTTGGCATCTCTGAATTAGTGTTCCAATACTGTGTGTAATTTACTCGATGCAGGCCTTACAATGTAAGCACATACCTTTACACATATCTGTTTACTGATCTGGACATCATATTTACTAACTGAAAGCTGGTGTTGATAGATATAAAATACATATTCTTAATACTCTAAGACTGTCTTGTTTATTGCAACTGAGACGTATGGCTGTTGTAAGCTGATGTGCCACAGGGACAGCACATGAATAGGAAAAAGTGCAAGTTATTTGAAACAGTATTTTAAGCAGAATAATTTTGTAAAATATGTTGGCTTCGGTTTTATGACACATATACTGAATCTAAGGGACATCCATATACACTGAATACGGTAAGAAACTTAATAATGACCTAATGTGAATGATAACATGTGAGTAAGTACCCAATGGCTTAAATAATGTAAAAAAGTCTTGCCAATATGTTCAGTGAGTGAGGGGGCGGTGGGGTAGTCTAGTGGTTAAAGCGTTCGCTCGTCACGCTGAAGGCCCGGGTTCGATTCCCCACATGGGTACAACTTGTGAAGCCCATTTCAGGTGTCTCCCGCCGTGATATTGCTGGAATATTGCTAAAAACGGCGTAAAACCATACTCAGCAACTCAGTCAGTGAGTGAGTGTAGTTTTACGCCCCTTTCAGCAATTTCCAGCAATATCACGGTTGGAGACACCAGAACCAAAGCACACATAGTACCCATGTGGGGAACTGAACACGGGTCTTCGGCGTGACGAGCAAACGCTTTAACCACAAGGCTGCCCCGCGCCCCCTCAATATGTTAAGATTTAATGCTGATTCAGGGTAACCTTGAAAAGCAGAAGCTTGTTGTGATGATGTCACTGATTGGGTGAATGTTGTATTGTGTGGTTTTAGTGTTTGACTTTAGTTGTATAAACACAATTAGTGTATAAACACAGTTCGTTTCACTAACACTGGCCCAGGATACTGTACTTGAAATTATTTATGCCAAGAAACCCAAATGTCCAAATATTGATTATTGTTGATATTATTAAATGTTTATGATAATTAGTGGTATTAAAATATCAAGTTATTGACATTCAAGATCAAGATGGTTTATTGTACATAAGGGCTCTGGTCCGTATAAATTGTGTTATAATGACAGGCAAAGTACTGACATTGAAAATAGTGGAAAGCATCATAACATTGTGAAATTAGTTGACAGGAGAAATCAGACTCTTCCTTAACGACAGTGAATGTGTTAAAAACAGGGATAATTTTACATGGACAGATTCGTCTTCTATCTATCTAAAAAAATATTTGTAGAGTGCTAGGATCTGGTCGAACCACTCAAAAGAGCTATTCAGGCAGTTTAAAACTTGTTAAGGGTGCCTATTGAGGAACATCGTATGCCTTTCCAAAGAAGTAGGTCTTTAGATTTGCTTTGCACGCTGACAGTTCATGATGTGACCTCAGGCTGAATGGCAGACTGTTACACAGAGTAGGTCCGGAAGTGTTGAAACATCTGTCTCCAAATGTTCTGGTTTTGTTGGACAGGACACAGAGAAGCAGTTGATCTTGTGACCGCAGATGTTGTGTTGGCTGGTAGAGTTTAATGAGGTCTGCGAGATATGCTGGAGCTGATGCAGTACTAGTCTGTCGTACAGACCCTGAAGCAAATATATCCAAGAAAGCCCACGCAAGTCTAGAAAATGTGGCAAGTCTAGATTTCCTCAGCTTCAGGAAAATGAAGAAAGTCTCAGGGCTCCTTTTCATGATATTTTATTTTTGTGTACTATGAATTTTTTTTTCCGTAAAATATGTTCATTTCAGAGACTAGTTGTTAGTCTAATACAGTGCAGGAGTAATATGTTCCCTTCTTTCAGTGCACGTGATGACTCTTGCTGCTGCATTGTGGACTCTCTGCAGTTTCTTAATTAGAAAATCCGGGAGTCCTATCAGAAGGATGTTTCAATAGTCCAGCCTGTGAACTGGGCTTGATGTGATCAGCCTGCCATACCCGCTCAGCTACCACGACTTCATGACCACGAGTCAGACAACTGCTAGTCTAGACTTCGGACTTTGTGTACCTATCTGATAAGTGAAAATTGGCTCCCACGGCTGAAGGCTATGATTACACAATGCCATATAGAAAGTGGTCAAATGTAACATATGTTATATTTCAGATTACACTTTCTTTGTGGAAGTCGTGGTGGCTGAGTGGAATAGGCAGCTGACTTTGTGTGCTGGCGATTAGTGCCTGACTCAGAGGGTGTGGGTTCAAATCCTGGATGGGACTCAATCCTACAAAAAGTACTAGAATCTGTACTTTACTAAGAAAGTGTAATCCCAAATATAACATATGTTACATTAAAAGTGTGGCCTAATGCTGATGGTGTCAGTGATTGTCTGGTCCAAACAATTATTTGTAGATGGCTGTCATTTAAATGGAATATTGCTGATTGCTGTATCATACAACAAACCAAAACAACTGTGATAGTGAATTGTCGACTGTAGCATAAAACAATATTTTCATTAAGCAACACCACAAATATAATGAAATTCTAATTTTCCTTCACGCATAAGGAATATTGACATGATTAGTCAAACCTTCTCCAGCAAGTAGGCTGGTCATTTCAGTCCTATTGAAAGCTTTGAAACATAATACATGGACTAGTAAAATCATATGCAGTCAGTCCATTTCAGTAGTTTAACATTATTTTATCATCTAATGTATACAGTCCAGAGCTCCAGATAAGATTTAGTTCATGTGGGTACTGTACCCACTGTATTTTTTTAGAGTGGATATTATGAATGTTGAGTGGGTATTTCATTTTCCCTTACCCACTACTTTCAAATATGTGCATATTTCAGTCATTTTACTCACCTAAGTATTACGTCATTGAGTAAGTTTAATAAGCAGGTATGTTCTGCCTTATGTCATACCTAAAAAAACCAACTTAAATATAATGGAAATGATTTCATAAAAAATCACTCATCCCGACTGACAGTACAACACTTGCCCTATACTAACAGTACAACTTGATAGCAATCGATGTCTTTTTCATTACGCAAGCGATTTTTATAAATATATTCCGTACGCATTTGTTTTAAACTTTTTGCGTATCTAGCATTTTAAATGTGTAATTGGTACGCAACAATTATTTTTCAATACCTAATTGGAAATTTTCTATGCGTATTTTACCCGGATACGCAGCTTATCTGGGCCTCTGTACAGTCAATGTGATAAACCATTCAAATAAACTTCGTATATCCATCTGATAAATATGCAAATGAGGGCAACAAGCAGGAAGTACTTCTTTTCTCAATACATCAATTCAAATTTCAATGTCGATGTGCTGTTTACACTACAGATGCTTTCAATAAGTTTAGATAAGGGTTCTATGAAATGTGTGATAATGTTATCAAATATGGCTGCCAGTGATTTGTCACTGTGATAAACGGGATGGTTCACTCGAACACCATATTCATGTTTTCTGAGGTTATAGACAGGTTGTTTATTATAGTCTCACCTCGTTACAGTCATTTTGATAAAAACGTACATAAATAATATATACATGATAAAAACTATACATAACCTAAGACAATATAAGCGTAAAAGTAACGAGCCACCCTGTACAGAGTTACGAGAGACTTTAAAATTATAACATCTATAAGAACATTCAAATGTTAAGAACTGCAGTCACTCTATAAAATATCCTTTGATAAAAAAATTACCTCAGAAAGGAAAACTTTTGATTCAGAAAGGAAAACTTTTGACTAAACATCATTTACATTGTTTACTGTAAGAATGACATAATATCATAAAGAGATCATATACATCTGATGTTTTAAAATGGTAAATGTCAAACATCACTTTGCTAATGGCTCTATTATACAATTTGCATTCCTGATATATAATGATGTATGATGTTTACAACACATAATCACAGTCAGCTGACAAGTTCTGTATAAACATGAGGTGATGTGAGGTGAAATTGGGTTAAACATCGTGCTTGAGAATATTTTGCTCATATGACGACGTGCATGCGTGTGTATGTGTATATGCGGCTGCTTGTACTAGCCCAGACTTAAGCTGGTTTTATAGTGCTAGCCCACTGAGATACCATGCCGCATTGAAGCATGAATACCCCACTCAGACACATTATACTGACTCCGAGCCGACCAGTCCTTGTTGTACCCATTAATGCTGAGCGCCAGGCAGGGACCAACAAGTACCATATTTTAACGTCTTTTGGTATGATGCGGTCGGGGATCAAACCCGCGACCTTCCGCTCTCCAGGCGGACGCTCTAACCACTACACCACGGAGGCGGTCGTATAAACATGATACATGTGAAGATCTGCAACCCATGTTTGTCGGGTGATCAGAGTGACTGACTTGGTTGACGCATGTCATTGTATCCCAATTGCGTAGATCAATGCTCATGATGTTGATCACTGGATTACTTGGCCCAGATTGAGTGATTTACAGACTATGTATATAGCTGGAATATTGCTGTGTGCATCATTAAACAACTAACAAATAAACAAAACTGTGTGAACATGTGAGGAGTAATCATTATCTGCCATTTGTGTTTTACATTCTTTCTTAAACACAGTACCGGTAATCACAATTGTGACTCAACCCAACAAAAGTACAAGAATCTGTACTTTACAAAGAAAGTGTAATCCCAAATATAACATATGTTAAATCACAGTAAGGTTTAGCCTGAATCATTTAACATGAACCTGATGAAATGAGAGATAGGGTATCAATTTAAAAATAGATTTTTAGTATATTTGTTTGATGTTTTGATTTTGGCAGACCTTTGTTACCATGGTTACCATGTTGACTATTATCTGAATGACCAAATAATATTGACTGCCAAAACTTGTCATGTTTGGTTCCTTTGAACATGAGATATAAAATATGAATTGTCAACACATGTCAACCAACAACAGGCAAGAGCTTGCTCTGATTATGTGTTAAAACATTCCATTGATTGTAAAAGGCAAATAATATGCGAAGTATTCATTGAAAATCAGTGTTTGCTTGTTTGTTTGTTGTTAAATGTGGCACTCAACAATATTCCAGACAATCCAGTGATCAACATCATGAGCATCAATCTAAGCAATTGTGATATGATGACATGTGTCAACCAAGTCAGTGAGCCTCACCACCCGATGCCGTTAGTTGCCTCATATGGCAAGCTTGAGTTGCTGAAGACCAATTCTAACCTGAATCTTCATGGGTTGAAAATCAGTGATAAGACCAAATGTTTGCATCTGCCAGTCACACTTTGGATAAAAAAGTATGTGCTTGTTGCCAGAAAACATGTTTAATTTGTTCATCTGATTTCAGGTGTTATGGAAAGACAATAAGGACAAACAAGATTAACTGCCCCTTCAGCAGCCGTCTATCTATAGAAAACAGAATGGAGCGGTGGACGTTCCTGAGTCGGATCCTTGCCCGATTCCACAGGGGTCCACACCGAAACAGCAGTGACTGCGGTGAGATCCCCTTGTTCTCAAGGTCACATACATATGAGGAAATGCTCTGGTCAAAAAGATTTGGCGTGAAAACCTTCCAACCCAAAAGCCTTCCTGAAATTAACTACGAGGAAATTATTAATGGACAGGTGGAAAATTTTTCTCCAGATTGCTGGCTCGACGGACACATTCATCAGTTTGCCAATGCAGCAGACATTATCCCAAATCAGAATCAATTCCCCAGTCAGGAAGATGTTAGTTCCGATTCCGTTTCATCAGATGGGTTTGATTCCAATACCAGCTCTCCACGGATAGGAGACTCACCACGTAACATCCTTCTCGATCTTTTTTCTCCAATGTATGAATCTGGGCCGCCACCATACTCTGATGAGCCACCTCCGTCTTATGAAGAAGCAACGTCCAATATCCTGGATGGGAACAGTTCCCATTCTATGGGTGAACCTCATGATAGTGATTGGATGTGGTGAAAATACGGCATAATAGTTTTCAAGGTAACCATGGAAACAAGACGTGATGTGTTCCAAGATGACTGGATTTTACTGTTTGGTGATGACATTGAACAGCGTCAGGAGCATTTGTTGGTAACAGTCTCACTCACGATTTATGTCATGTTCTGTTTCATTGAAATGGTGAAGAGTTGAATCAAATATATTCTTGTAGATTGTATCCGATGGGATCATGTGGTGACTGAATAATGTTTATGTGTTCAGAAATATGGAAGCTAATTTCACCACCATTTTTGGAATTTGATGGCCCTATGGGCTCTCCTGATAATATTTCATGCATGTTTCTGAACAAATTTACGAACAATCCGTCAGCGGAAAATTTGGGGACGATTGAAGTTCCTGCAGCAGAGGAAGGTGGGTAGACACATTTGGTCATATCTAACTAGTCTGCGGCTCATTTCAAACTTTTTCTTGGATTTACTAAGATTTTGAGATAAATCAACTCATCCGTCATGATCTTCACAGTTTGGAGTTACATACTGGAGGACTTGCCTTGCCAGGGATGATTTTTATGTGTTTTGTATGTTCGGTAGTTTACCTGATGGAGGGTGGGAGGATGAACATGGAGGGTAGGAAGGAGTAGAGGGTGCAGTGAAATTAGAATGCCTTCCCTTTCTCTGTGTCATGTTTTTATGATTCCTCCTTCCTCACTCCATCTCAAACACAATGATAAACGACAAGTATAACAAATTCCTTAGGTTTCTCTCACAGAAAATCATGATATGATTAGAATTTAACCTTACATATTTTGACTGCAGTTGTGTCCAGTTCTTTTGATTTAAGACTTGTTTCTGCAAATGTTACTTGTTAATATGGAGAAACGAAAAGTAGCATTATTAATGTTTTTCACGTCTTCTTTGGGATGTCAGAGGATGCCAGTGCTCCTGGGCACCTCATAGGGGAATGATTTATTTGTTATAATTTGTTAATTGGATGTTTTGGGGTGACACTTCGCCATGGTATAAAAGCTATATACAACTAACTATACAACATGTCCGTTCACTTCCAGGTCACCACGGAGTGGGTTTTTTAAACATGTTCTTATTGTCTGTTTGTCATTAGATGTCATCTGAAACTGTCCTTGCTGATTGTCATGATATTCAAGTTGATTTTGTGTTTTCCTGGACAGTTTGTTGATAAACAGGATTGAACTGTGTAATTGTTACCATGGCTACGTTTTGGAACAAGTGTGGAAGTGTTACTGTATTGACAACAAACAGGAATAGTTATGACGGACAGGTTTCCAACACAAAATATTTTGTTGTTGCTCAGTGTTTAAAGAAATCACAACACTGTGGTGTTCAGTTTGACATTAATATTTCACCAAATCAGTCACGTCCGATGCCATGCATAATAAATCTAGAGTTCTGTCCCTTGATTTCTCCAAAATTGGCCCCTTTGCTTTTTTTTGAAAAGCCAAACTTTTGCCCAAAGGTAGAGTTTGAAAATCAAACGTTGAGAATATTTCCATTTATTTATCTCCTCTGTCTTCTGACTGAAACAGATGAAGACTTGATTTGACAAATATCAGAGGCAGATCCCAGATTTTGGAGAAGAGGTGTGTGCACATAAATCATGAAGTCCAAAGGTTATAGGGGGAAATGCTCCTCATGGAAAAAAAATTTGGGCAAAAAGGAGAAAGTTATGTCAACAGAGTACCTCCACCCCCCCACTGGTTCCGAGCTTGAATATACATACTGGGAGCAGAG